ATGCCAGGGAAATGACTTTAAAAGTTCAAATCTTTTATTTTTACAATCACCAGAATAGTCCTCGCCAAATGAAAGTTCCATTCCTCTTTGATAGCAGCTACACCTGAGCCAGGTCTCAGTCATAATCAATATGAAGGAGAGTAGACATCCCTCTTCTCCCTTCCTGATTAGTCACCCACACCCTCGTGTTCCTCAAGGATCAGGTCCTTCCACATGACCAACATGTCCTAGCCATTTCTCCCATTTCTTACTTAACTCCTTTACACTGCTATGCTAAGCCTTCATAGCACTCTGTACCCTGACAGTGACAGAGTTTTTTGTAAAAGTAAGATAATTTTAGTAAGTAATTTAGAACCCCATTACATACTGTTCGTTATACTAAATTTCTCTCTCTCTCTCTCTCTCTCTTTTTTTTTAAGATTTTACTTATTTATGTGACAGAAAGAGAGAGCACAAGCAGGGGGAGTAGCAGAGGAAGAGGGAGAAGCAGGATCCCCACTGAGCAGAGAGCCCAATGCAGGGCTTGATCCCAGGACCCCGGGATCATGACCTGAGCTGAAGGCAGATGCTTAACCGACTGAGCCACCCAGGGGCCCCTGTTATACTAAATTTCTTATGTGTGAGTTTAAAGTTAATATTTAAGCAGAATGTAAGGTCCTTATGGCCAAAGACCGTAACTTCTTTTATTTTATCCTTCCTTTCCTCCATTTTTTCTCTCTCACTCCCTTTCTTTCCTCCCTTTCTCCTTTCTTTCCTATAGATTAAAGTATTTCACATTCTTAGAAATGTCTAGATAAGGTGTTGTATTTATTCCAAGGATAGAAATAGGGGTTAGAGACTTAGAGAATGTTCTATGGGAAAAAGGGTAATTCAGTTTATCTTTGCAGAACATCCAAGAGATGAAAAGAGGAGAATTCAAGGCAGAGGAATGGTATGATTAATGATATGAAGAAAGGCCAGTGTGGGATATGTAAGGAACTGCTCATTTTTGTCAGAGTAGAGGACAATGGAGGAGAATGGTGTGAAACCAGGGCATGGAGAACCACAAACACCAAGAAGCTGAGCAGTTTGGGCTAGATTCTACTAGCACTGGGGAACAACTAAAGGTTTGGAGGCAGAGGGTTTATTAGAATTGAGCTGGGCTTCCAGAAGATTGACTTCATATGGGAGGCATAATGGAAAGCCTGAACTAGAGAAAAGACAGGGGACATAGAAATGAAGGGTTCTCCAAAAGTGACAGAGTGTAGAATCAATGGAGCTTTACTGTTTACTAGATGTAGGTCACAAGGAAGAGAAAGGTAGGGAGGTGGTAGGGAGGTAGGGAGGATGATGCTGTTGTTAATAGAAACAATAGAGAAGGAGGGACAGTTGTGACAGAGATGATGACTGAACTTCTTTTAGGCTGAGCAACTGTTGTAGAGTAAATTTTTTTAAGATTTTATTTATTTATTTGAGAGATCACAAGTAGACAGAGAAGCAGGCAGAGAGGCAGAGGAGGAAGCAGCCTCCCCGAGGAGCAGAGAGCCTTTTGCGGGGCTCCATCCTAGAAACCTGGGATCATGACCTGAGCCGAAGGCAGAGGCTTTAACCCACTGAACACCCAGGCGCCCTGTAGAGTAAATTTTTAATAATAGTTTACTGATCCACAGTTGTACTGCTGAAGATAATATTGCCTTTTTTTCCCTCACAGATGATAATACTAGATCTTAGACTGGCATGCTTAATTGTACATTTTAATTGTAAATAATACTACAACTTTGTTCTCAATAGACCAAAGCATAATTATTATATGAGGTTCTCTCTACATTGTGAGGGTTGGGAGGGGAAGATAAGTTTAATAAGTTGAGTTGAGGAGAAACAGTGTCTGAGAGGCCAAAGGACCTCATTGTTGATGTCTCATATTTACTTAGTGGCACAATGAAGACCAGACCCAGTTCTCCTGATAGCCAGTGGTGTATTTAGTTTCTTATCTGAAGGGAGAAGAAGGCCTTGGCAAGTTCAGATGTGGTACAATTCTGTGCTTGTATTTCAAGTGTTTTGGTAAGTATAGTTGCAGAAGGAGGAAGGATATATTCCCTTTTGTGGTTTATAAGATGTAGCATTCTCTTTAACATGAAATAGAAACTTCCATCAAGTAAATGTTTCCTGATGTCCCTGTCCTTTCACTTAATTGTTTTCTTTCATTGTTTTTCCTTCATGAGAATTAAAACACTACAGTTATATAACTTACTGTATCCACCTAGTCCTAATTTTCTCTTAGAGGTAACCATGGTTAGTGGATGATAAAGATCCTTTCAGACTTCAGTTAAGCAAACATAAACTCTCTCTTTGCCTTTCCACATCCATTTCCAGAACTGTCTCATAAAATCTTTCCACTATCCCTCTGACTGCCAGCTGGATATTGATGCTCAAAGCAACATTGAGCGCGATGGTGCTGAACTGTCTATCAGTCTGGGCCCCTGAATGACTATGTGGAGCAAGCCCTCCTGGGGACTGTATGGTAAAGAAGCAAGAAATAACTGTCTATCATGTTGAGGCACTGGAACTGTAGGGCTTGTTCATTTCAGCAGCTATCACAACCTTAGTTAGATTGGAGGGTTTCTTTGTTGTGGCTGGAGTGAACTGGACATTGTCTGACTTTTTTTTTTTTTTGCATTAAAAATGCTAAAAAGAAGTTTAAAGACAATCTTATTTGTCCTCCTTGGGTTGGCCCTTGTTTATTATATTTACTTAAACTCAGCTGCTCCAGAAATGATGATGCTCTAGACAATACCTCATTTAGTATGTTAATCATCAGAATACAGAATAAGTCCTTTGAATTTGACTCTATCATATAAAACAAGCAGAATGGTTTTTTGAAGGTGAGATAAAGAGCTATCTAAAAGTAAAAAGCCTATGGTTCCCTTTCTGGAATTTCTTTCCATTCCTGAAAATGCAAAGCAGACCAGCCACCAATATACAGATTCTTGTATAGAGGCAACATGGATATGGTTAAGATAAACCAGTTCTGTTAATGTGACTGCACATCCTCTGGAAAAAATGTATATGTATATATTCCTCTGCCAACCCCCTAAAAGCTTAGAATCCAGTCATTTCTGTTTTCATCCATGTATTTTAGTAGGCTACAGCAAAACTCAAAACCTTAAGAGGAATAAACCTTTTTTCAGATCTAAGGAATTTCACTGGTTGAGGAAAGTTCAAGCCAGATCCATTGCAGCTTAAATCCATTTTTTTCCCCTCAGAGTAGAGCATATAATCGAGCGCAAATGTGCTTCAAAACAGTTCTCAGATGTTCTGTTTTATATAGAGTCCAAGATGTATAGAATCTAAAAGCTCCACCTTAAAAATAACTTAATTACTCTTGTTGCCTCAAAATGAAGCACGAACTTCTAAACATGATGTATATGTTCTTTTTTTTCAGGCTCTTGTTTACCTCCTACACTCTGCAGCTTGCATTCTGTGTACCAGCCACTCTGAACCCCTTTAGTTTCCTCAGGGTGCTGTGCTCGCCTTACCTCCAACCTTTGTACATACTGTTCCCACTACCCAATTCCCTGCCAGCTCCTTTTCCTTACCTTACTTATATTCATTCCTCAAGTCTCTGCTTCAAGGTCATTTCTTCCTTGTAGCCTATCCTGACTGTTCTCCCAGGCCAGGTTAGGCGAGCTTCCCATCTCTGCTGTCAATACGTTATCAGAACACTTCACACGTTGTAGCATAATTGAAGTTCATCAGTTGGTGTCCTTCTCTAGCTCGGAGCCTCGGTACGGTCAGGGTGAACTGTTTACCAACACTAAGCCTATTGCCTACTATGAAGCATAGTAGGTGGTGAGAAATATTAAATGAAGGTTGCTGAATCTAGATTAACTGTCCTCTGATGTTCTAGCCTACCACAACATATAGAAGCTGATGCTACTGACCCACCGACCACAGGACACTTAACTGGAATAGTCTTATTCCCCAGGATCACTTGAGGCCAAAAGAACTGAAGAGGTAAAAGAGTTGAGCATAAAGCACAGTTTTCCTTTGAACAGAATAAAACTATATTCTGTGGTCAAATTCATGCCCCTGAGCTCGTTACTCTTAAGCTCTAACTAAAACAGGGTAATAGAGACTGACTCGGTAAATGATCCAAAAGGCTATAAACACAATTCAAAAAAAACAAACCTCTCCCTGATTTTGATTATGGAAGCTTGCAGATCTGTTCCTTCTAATCTGACACGCAGGACAAACACTCCAGCAACAGCAAACCAGACCCGTCTACTCCGCCCACCCATCGCTGCTCAGCAGCGTACCCACTGATTTGGGAACTCCTCTTGAACTAACATTTGATTTGCTCCAGAGTATCTCTGAGCTTGTACACTTTGTCCTCTCTCAAAGGGGGGTGTTGGCATTAATCTCCCTGACCCCGGTCTTAAATGCGGCCTTGGATTTCTAATTGTGATCTTCCACCATCACCTTTTTGCCTCAAGCTTCACTGTGGTCTTCTGAAAGTCAGTGTCAAACAAAGCCGTCCTCCACATGGCCTGGTCTGAGCCTCTGCCATTCCATCGCCATTATCAGGGCTCCCAATGACTCGAGGCCCCAGGACTTGGTTCTCAAATACCAGTGCTTCCAGGACAATTTCAGGCATTAAAGTATGGGCAAGGGCTCCACGGGGAGAGGGAATGCTTACCTAGCACTATTTTTCTGGCATAAAGAGTAAAGCAGAACAAGAGAGACTTTAAGAAAATGGCGGCATGACAGCTGGGATTCTTCTCAGGTCACAGACCGATGTAGAAACAGAGAAGCCCCAGCTCCACACCCTCAGTTCACCAGCGCATTCTCTGCTGTGGGGCCCTATAAAGAAGGCTTCTGCGAGGGGTGTTGGCTGGGGCCAGTCCACCCAAAAGTATTGTCGAGAGTCTTCAGGACAACAGGGGGAAGCAGGGATGCTGTGCGTTTATTCTCACTAATACTGCACATGCAAACTGCCCAGCAATGGATGGCTACTTTCTTACCTTGTGTAACTGGTAATACTGGAAGCCCCCGATTCCGCCTTGTTCCTCGGCAGTCCAGAGCACCAAACGCAGAGTCCTCTTTGGTCGCAGCCCTGGGGAAAATAATTAAAAGAAGCGATCATTCGGCTGATTTTAAATTTTTTTAAAAATGGCAAGCCCCCTCATCTGCATTCTGGAGGCACAAGGACATCAGAGGCACACATATTCATCTCTTGCTGATGCGGCTGCCCGATGCAGACTGTGGCTGACACAGCAAAACAGCGCCCTCAGGGCTGATCTCCAGGGCAGGTTAATGGAGAAAGGGGTTGTGCAAGTGCTGCCTGCAGGCCAGGAAGTGAGAGCCTCTAATCACATCCTGAACTGACAACCTGCCCAGCAGGACCCAGCGGATGGCCAAGGTCGGAGGAATGTTAGATTGCATATAGAAGATGCCGTTAGCAGGAGTCCAGGCAGATCAGGGCGTCTTGCGATGATTAACAGAAACCAATCATCTGGCTCTACTTCCAGGTAAGGTGTGTAGGGGATTGCTTCTTAGTCTCAATCCACAAGGATAGCTAGCTGCCCATGCTATCCTTGGTGAGGTCATGGCTATGAAGCAGAGGCAATGTTATGGCTACCCATGGTCCTTCTCCTCTACTATTTGGAAATACAAAGTTATTCACTTAAGGTCAATGAAAACAGATGGAACGCAGATGACATTTTACTTACCTTCTTATTTCACAAACAGCTTGGTGCCAATTTCATTGACTTGAGAAATACAAATTTGTATCTTAGAAGTTATTAAAGTTGTTGGCAGATCTGGCACGTCTAGAACCATTTTTGAGTGACTATGTCTGCTCAGTAGAAGTTAAATGAAAGGAAGTCTATTTCTCAAACTTAAGAAAATGGGAACACAATATGCTGGAAGTCCCATTTTGTGACCAAGAATTAAAACCTGTTCTGATTTGGACCTTATGATGTTGTTTCAGAGAAATAACAATGACAGAGAAACAAGAAGCTTGAATCTTATTAAAAGACTCTATCCTCCTGCCTCAGGACAGGGAGCCACAGGGAAGGATTCCAAGTGGCTCTGAGAGGCACCCACTACAAACCTCACGTGTAAGCACATGAGGACGGCCACCTGGGCATGTGGCCTTTGAGGGAACAGGTTGGTCAACTGTAGTGCGGATGGGAAGGCTCCTGGGGAATAAAGCTCTGACCTGCCTCCTCCAGGCACCAACAAGGGTTCTCCTTTCATAAGCCCAGAGCTAGGGAGCTGAACAGGAGCTACATTTCCCATTAAATTGAGTATTGTTGTGAAGCCACTTTGTATGTGAGCATTTTACCATCATTAAAAAAGCACAGCTTTAGGTTGTGGGTTGACCTGCGTTCCCATTAAAGCCTGGGCAAGAAATTTCTATATCAAATTGTTCAGAAAATCCCACTGATGCTTTCTCCTAAGTCCACTAGAACCCAGCTTCTCACCTCTGCTAGCACTGTGGTACCACTGTCTTCTCCCTGGGCTGCTGTCACCCCCTAACTGCTCTCTCTGCACCAGTCTCTCACCCCTGCAGCCAGAGAACTCCTGTAAGAGTGAAACCGGATTGCCTCATTTCTCCGTTCAAAACCTCCCATAGACAGATTATAAGATTCTAGAAGGCAGGGGTTTATGCTTCTTGGTCCCCTGTGGTACCCCTAGTGCCCAGCCTGTTTGGCACATATTAGGAGCCCAATAAATAGGTATTGAATGAATAAATGAATCCAAAGCTTGGAATGTCACTTGGAATAAAATTCAAAGCCTTCTATCACTTTCCCAGCCTCATCTCCTAAAACTCTTCAGCTGGCTCACTCCCAGGCAAGCTGTTACAGTTTAAAAAGGCAGACAAGGCCGCCTGGGTGGCTCAGTGGTTAAGTGTTTGCCTTTGGCTCGGGTCAAGATCCCTGGGTCCTGGGATTGAGCCCCCATGTCAGGCTTCCTGCTCAGCAGGCAGTCGGTTTCTCCCTCTCCCTCATCCCCCCACCCCCACTGTGCTTTCTCTTTCTCTCAAATAAATAAAATCTTAGAAAAAAAAAAAAAAGCAGACAGAGCTGGTGAGCCCTGCAATCATTAGGCACTAGCTGTGTAACCACTGGGAAACTGATCTACCTGAAATTCAGCCGCCTTATCTGAAAAGCGGAGAGAATATTATATACCTATTGCATTGTGAGGATTAAATGAGATGTGATAATGTACAGAAGACAATTCTGTGCTTGGCATGTGATTGACATTTAAACACTCAGAGAGGAAGTTCTTTCATAGGCATTTCAGTGCCTGCTGACAAAGAATCCTGAAGTACCCACAACCTGCTCCAGAGTCAAACTAGCTGCTCACACGCACAGCACAAACTTGTTGCGGGAAGAAGTCTACTCAATAGATCTAAAAAAATCACAACTTTTGGTTTATCTAAAAGAAATGTACTTAATGCCAATTTAAATCAAATGACATTTTGCTGGCAACACAGACAAAATAAGAAAGGATAAAGTACTGCAAATGAAAATTCTGAACTTTTTTTAATCCATAAAAAGGAAAAAAAATACACTTCCTTTTTACCTTATTCTGCACTTACCAGCAAAACAAGGCCAAATTATTAAAATGATGGAATTCTCTCAATAAGGACATAGGTACAGTTAGTTAGCACAGGTTACGGAAAAAAAATCAGTTTTTAAAAGCAAACGCCCTGAATATCCCTATAGATTTGGGGCTCCACCTGCGAATCATTATTGTCCAGGATGAGTCTCCTTCACATTTCATATCAGCCAGATGGCCAATAATGCTATATTAAGATAAGAAAGAAGTAATCAGCTTGAAATGAGGAATGTTAAGGCCTCCGAACAACAGCATAGCTGTCTTTAAAAAGACAAATGGAGCCTCTTTTCAAGGCCTTGAGAAAGAAGCTCACTCCCCGTCAGCACGGAACACCAGAACCTGCTCCACGTTCAAGGTGAAGGGCCAACAAAAGAGGTCAGGAAAGCAGTGGTTAAGCAAATGCTTGGCTGGTCTCTGACATCTCTACTCTGAAATTCTGGTAGTCTCTAAACTCAAGACGAATGCATGGGAATTCATTCAAAGACCAGACCCTCATTCTAGTGTGGACTTTGGATCCCTCCAGCCACTCAAGTCTGCAGACGGGCAGTGTGGGACACAGAAAGAGGCTGGCCAGGAATTTGTGGAAGCGTTATTTGGTTCCCTGCTCTGCCCTTCTGGCTCTGTGACTTCGGGCTACTTACTGCATTTCCCTGGGTCTCAACTTCTTCATCTCTACGATAAAGAAAATGGTCATTGCCTTGTGGGTTTTTTTTTTTTTTTTTTAAGACCATTTTATTATTTATTTGAGAAAGAGAGTGAGTGAGCATGGGGGAGGGGAAGGGCTGAGGGAAAGGAAGAAGTAGGCTTCTCGCCGAGCAGAGAGCAGGATGCGGGGCTCAATCCTAGGACCCCGGGATCATGACCTGAGCCGAAGGCAGACGCTTAACCCACGGAGCCACCAGGAGCCCCGCCTTATGGGATTGTTAAGAAAATTATAAATGAGACGAGGCAAATACATATTAAGCACAGTTCCTGGCACATAGTAGGTTTTCAAGAATTGTTAGTTAGCTTCTTTCTATATCATCCCACACAACTTCTCAGTCTGTGCCAGTAATCGCCAGGGAGATCTTGTGGGAGAGCCAGGAAAGAGGCATCGTCCTCATTCCTCATCCTTACGAACCGGAGAATATCTCTGTTTATTCAGAGTGTGTACTCAGCCAAAGGAAAAGTACAGATTTCATCTAACTTTGTAAAAAAATGCACACCACCTCTTTCAGTATAGAATGCTTCCTTATCCCAACAAAGAGCATATCCCAATCCAAGTAAATTGGAACAGGTTCCTCACTTTTTAAAACTGAAGGCCACCCAGAATTGTTAGTTTCTGAATAAGCTCAAAGGGCTGGATAAATCTGAAAACTGAATCAAGCTGATGTAAGAGTATCTATATTTATCATCTTAAATGGTATAATTTATTGTTTATCTCAAATCCAAACTAGATTTAAAAGAAAGAAGGAATTCTAAGTATTTAAAATAGCAACAACCATAATAAAGCAAAATCACTGATCGCAACACAACTCAGTGATAGGAGGCCCAACGTAGGGATTTCATTTCGTAGACGAACTGGGGTAAACTACTAGCTCAGTAGTGCTCCTGGCTCACAGCCCTGGCTCTCACTCCAGCTATACAGCACTGGCTCCCAGCAAGCACATGAAAGAAAGTCTTAGAAATGGAGGTGAGTGGGAAGACTCTGGGCTCAGCTGTCCAGGAATCGGGTCTCATTGAGGTTTTGTTGGAAGCCGGGCAATTAGTTCCCCTTTGGGTGTATAGAAACTTTTCAGAGATCTCTCACCCTCCCGGAATTTCTATTAAGAACTCCAGATAGGGCAGCACACCTTGTACAGTATATGGTTTTCCTCTTTAAAAAACACAAACTGCTGATAATGTGTCAGAATTCTGTCTTGTTTATGAAATATGATATACATGCGTTTTGCTTTCATTTTACTGAGGAAAGTAATAATGCTAATGGGAAAACAGTACCTAGGAGAAAAGGTCAAAACAATCTGGTTGGACTTTACTTTTCATTATCATCAAACTTAAAGATGAGAAGGCTGAGAGGTGACTTTCATTAAACTGATAAACTGAAAAGGTCAGTTGATTGTCCTACACTTGTACCGAGGGGGCAAAACAAAATAAACTCACATTAATCCAGCCTTGTAGATAGCTTTCCCAAATCATGAATTCTAACGAACGCTATTTGTTAACAATGTGTACTGACCCAAATGCTCATTTACTGTTCAGTTTCAATCCCTCCGGAATTATGTGTGAATACTGCTCTCCCTTCTGTGACCTAACTTTGCAGAGAAAACACAACTTTCTCTTACGGTAAATACTCTATACTCATTTTCCATATAAATGCACTAGTTCACAAAGATACTTGTTGCCCAGCTCTCATTTTTCAATAGTTCAGAAGAGTGCCTATACTTAGAGATTTCTATTCCTGCCATAAACCTGATTAATGTAATATCTGAGGTATAGAGTAAACAATGA